ATTCACCCCACTACCGTGCAGCGGTCTAGAGGGGGTGGCTTGGGGTGGGAGCTTTGGGGTGTCAAATTGCTGTCAAATTTAAAGCACCATTAATTTAGATTCATCTTTAAAAATAGCATGGAAAAAAATGAAATTCATTTAATGTCTATAATGGACACAGTGTTAGACTAAGTGACAGGCTGAAGTTGCAATTTAAAAAAAAATTTTAACAAATTTATTCGATTTCTCTAATGCCACCTATTAGATATTTCTATTTAATGCTTTACTAACGTGCCACAATAATGTAGTTTTTTAGGATAAAATATTTTCATTTCGGGGCTTTTCCAAGCAAATATTGATATATATGATTGTCTGTGATAAAATCAGCATATATTCCTTCCACCACTTAAAGTCTCCACCCCATGAATATTTCTCTAGATCTGCCCCTGCATGTTTGTGAAAGTGGTCGCTCATAGTGACAAACCCACAGAGAACTGTCACCCAGCTCTGCAGTTCCCCTTGTCTCTGTGAAGTTTTATAGCATCTTTTAGCTTTTTTTGCCTTGGAAGTTTACTTTTGTGCTTCATTCTCACCACTCTCTGCTCGATGGTCCCTGGCAACGGCAGGCTGCTGTTTTCAGCAAAAAAAAAGAGAAAGTATTGGAAACCCAGTGTAACACTACTGCTCGGCACCAAACCCAGCAGACGGACAGAGTTAGCAACTAGCTGGTGAACATAGTGGAGCATTTAGCAGCTGTAGGACCAGATATTTCCTTTAGGAGTTTATGGAGACCTCAAAGGAGCTAAAAGGAGAATATTATATCATGAATATTGAACGTCCAGTACATCAGGTGGACAGAAGCATGATTACAAATGAATGCTGATGTTATATGTGTTGATGTGTATATTTTTATAATAACAATGTATAAAATGACAGTATGAAAGAGGTAGCTCTTAGTGATGAACCTACAGAGAATTATCACCTGAATCTGCAGCTCCCTTCGGCTTTAAGGACCTGTATGAGTTCCAGTTCATTGTTCATTGTTTTGGTTCACTCACACAGCTCTCATAGTATCGTTTTTGATCGCACCAGGCAGCTGTTTTCATTTAAAAAGCTCTAAAAAAAACCCTGTACCCTGTGTGGTTAGCAGAGCCTTTAGCAGCTATTTTTCTTGGGAGTTGGTGGAGACCAAAAACAGAGCTAACAGAGAGCGAATATTGGACTGACATTCAAACAATACTCCAAATGAATGATAATGCTGCATACAGTATCTGCTGGAGGTGTGAATAAACACATTAGCCATTTTAAATGTTTTAAATTGTCACCATGTTCCTGTTGCCCCCATCTGCTGATGAAGATCATGTTATATCATTGAAAGCTCCAGAACAACTCTACTCAATAAACCTCGAGGTAAGATTGAGCTGTTTCCGAAAGCGTTTCCGTGTTATAAGACACAGAGGAGTTACAGCACTGAGTGAGCTACATAACACTGGCCACAGGGCGTGAAGAAGAAAAACAAAACGCAGATGTAGGACATGGAGGAGGAGAGTCAGAGGTCGGGGTTATTTATTGGAGTCAAAATGACACACAGAGAAAGTGACACAGAGAAAGTGGCACTTAGGATTTGAGAGAGGGATCAACTCTCCGGACAGTATCAAACAGCCTTTTCCACAGCTCAGTGTGCCCCTCGGTGACATCCGGTGTAATAATATTTGTTATTTTCTGTCCTTTTCTGGCAGGCCAAAACAACAGAGCTTACCTGGCTTGGTATCCATAGTAACAGATGTAGTATACATACAACAACTGCCCTTGGATTCAAGCAATACAGATGCTAAAGACTGTTTACTAAAAACTAATAGGACTGACCCTACAGGATAACCTGATGCAATAAGTGGCACTATTAAGAGACTAGGAGAACCTTAGCTTCCACAAAATGATCACTGAAAGAAATAAGTCACATCACAAGCTACCTCATGTGGTTATAGTGCTGTGAGTAGGCTATCACATACACTGATCTGAGTTCAGGAGCAGATCAGTGGAGGCTAATTAGGCTGTGACTCACATGTCACATCACCATGTCACTACGTGAGCTCACCTTTCCCATTATTTTTTGCAGTGTAAATTCAGTAAGCTGAATTAGTTTGTTAGATTAGGAAATTATGGATAGATTTCTTTTCAAACATACTCAGGTGTTGGATAACAACAACCAGCAGACTGCGCTGTTTTGAAAACATCAGTGGTGAGAGTAAATATATTTTTAATAATCGGGTCGATCAGCACTGCACATTTTACTGTGTCAAGTGCCTTGGCCCACCCTGGTCTGGTCAGCGCCTCCTGTATCTACTGTATCTAACGGTATGGGCTTACACTCGCATGGTGTACTGTCTGCTAGATACTTGTCGCTGTGGTGGAAAAAGCTCAAAATATTTTCATTTTCAACACACTATAAATTATGACTGTGTGTTATATACTGTCAGTGGGTTGAGATCTTCTGTCTACCTCTGCCACAGCGTATAGACAGATGTATGACTGTGATCCTCTGTGAACTCTGGATAAAGTAATGTAAATTTGTGTGAAGAATGATAATATAAAATTTGATTGTAACTTAGAGTCAAATGCTCACCGTTAGTTTATGATAAAATGTTTTAAATTGACAGATATTTAATATTGTTAACAATAAATCATTGGTAGTACACTTATTCCCTTTCTTGCCGAGAGTTAGATGAAAAGATTGGTACCACTCTCATGTCTGTGTGCTAGAGCCTGCAGGTGATTAGCTTAGCTTAGCATAACAAGTAAAAATAGTGAGAAACAGCTTGCCTGAGCCTGTCCAAAATTCAAAATACGACTACCAGCACCTCTAAGGCTCACTAATTCATGTTATATATCTTTTGTTGAATCCGTACACAAACAGAAATATAAAGACAAAAATTGCGATTTGTCCTTGTATTTTTACATTTCTGCTTCCAGTCTCTATGTTTTGTAAGCTAATCACCTCCTGGCCCTGACCATTTAGTACAATTTGTACAATTTGATCGGCAGCCATTCCTTTTAGAGGGACCTACAGTATGTCAAAGTCTTGCTTTAATACCATGCTCACAAGCTGCACATGAATCAAATCACTACTAACTGACTGACACACAGCAAACACAGTGTAGTATCCCAGAATTGGAGTGCTAGCTAATTTACTAGAAACTGCATCAGAAAGGAAGAGTCATGGCCACATGCTGAAGCTGAGGTAACAACCACCTCTGAAACAGTGCACCCTTCTTGAAGACTGTGACTTTATAACACAACAGGCTGTTGAATTCCTCAATGTAACCATCTTCTTACAGGCGCCTGCTGATATGTATACTATTATAATTTAGTTTCTCAGGTAGCTAAAAACCTGATCTCCAGCTCTACTCTGACCTGTGGTAACTATGGTCTGCAACCAGTTTGCGCTTCTACCTTACAAGGAACAAGTCACAGAAATATTTTTAAATCCATCTCTACCATGCATCCATGATAACTAATATAAACCACGTGGCAGGATATGATTTGATCATCTTACTATTCTTAATCCTGACACCAAAGACATCCAGAGAGGAAACAGAAGCAGAGCCGAGCAGAGAAAGTGAATACTGGCTCTACATGACCTACAAACAACATATTCTCAGGTGCTCTCATACGGTATATGACATGAGAAATGCAAATGCAACAGGCACGAGAGTCTGTGAATTATAAAACTCCTCATATCTCCCTCCTGCACACAAAGTTTCAACCTCAAAAGGTAATTTATATTCATGAGGATATGCTGATGAGTTGCATCTTGACCTTTGTTGCTGTAGGTCAGTAAGTAACAAACAGCTGAGAAACTTGATTTTCTCCTTGCTCGAAGCAAACCACCAATGATATAATGATGCTTCAGTGACTCACAACCTCATAAAAATGTTTTACCTAACAATGACTAATATTTGTGAGACAAAGTGCTTCAGCATCTCATATTCCAGGTATTCCTTAAAATGTGTTTTTGCTATGCTCTAAGGATTTTTTACCTTTTTTAATTTAAATTTTTTTTTTTTTTATCATTACCACAACTTTAAAAAACTGGGTCAAAAAGTACCCGTATACATCATGAATGGTATTCAACAATTCATCCTTATCTCAGGTATACATTTAGATTTATGGTGTGGTGGTCTGCACACCTCACTTGTCATTAACATTACCACTGACCAATGACCCATGTGAGCGTGACCTATTTTTCTGTTTTTCCGGAAAAAACAAATGACTAAATCGATTCTTGTTTTATATAACATTTACACTATCACTAGCTGGCTAACATTAGTTGTGGATGCACTGACAACAACACATCAGCTAAAGAGCACCATATTTTACTTACTATAATATTAGCCATCTTGATAAATGAATGATAGTTGTAAGTTTAATACATTAATAAATAGTGTTCACAGTCTTACTGTTTTGTATGAATGTATATATGTACAAAATGATGATGGCATGTATTCATTACTAACAAACACTACTGATGTTGACTACTGACTGGCTCCAATGACATCTCTGGGTTAAACTGGTTATAGACAAACTCTCTGACTTTACTTGAGACAGACAATAGGCTGTCATAGAGGTGTCACAACCACACTACAGAGCATTTACAAGCAGCTGTGATGCCTGACCTTGCATACTTATTTATATATTTAGTGCCATCTGACTGCTGCTATAAGACATCTTGATGCATTATGAAGGTTTATAGCAACTCTTACTTTGCATGATCTTCGCATACATTATATTATTCAAGTTCTGTGATGCATTGTATTGTATATATGGCATTTTCATACCCCAGGTACTGATTAGATATTGGTTCTACTTTAAATACAAGTGCCTCTTAAGACAGGCAGAAGGTATCTGCTCATTCATCAGATTATAACAGCTTTCGGTGTTGTGGATTGGATTTACAGTCTGCAACTAGTTAGGTGAAGATGATATCTTACAATCTCTGTTACCAAAGCAAAAGAGCAAATTACCTCCAATATCCGGTCGCAGTTTCTTGTCATATTCTTTCAGTAAATTGTTGAGTATTTCCGTGGTGTCGGTATCTTGTGATTTAGGAGCCAGCATTTGGTTCACAGTGACATCTTCGTAGTCTTCTTCGTACTCCATTGTTAGAGAGCTGTACAGGTAGAATGAAAGGTGGTTGGAAACAGGCGATGGCATGCAGTGTATTCTGCAGACTGCATGCAAACATTACATTGGTGTCATTGGGAGTCCTTCAGATAAACTTGAAACTAATAAAGTTTTCTTTAGGAAACAAGTGACAGACATCTCATTAAGTTTATTCAACATCCCCGAACCCAACACATCTTTTTTTTTTTTTTTT